ATGTGTTAGAAGTACAATTTTAGTTTATATCAACGTAAAGGGTGGTTATGTTGGGGGTGAAAGTTGAAGTGCAAGTTCTTTAGAAAAACAGATGCCTTCACAATCAGGTAAATCTGTGACAACAAGTTTGTTAAGATCCTCCTCTTCATTATCAAAGTTAGCAACAAATTTCCTTTGTTTACCAAATCTGATAATATAGAGACCCACAAACCCTTTAAAGTTAATCAAAAATTTTTCAACAATTTTCTTTTTATTAGCATTATTTTTACTTGGTATTTGATCAATTAAGATTGCTGCATAAAAGTTTGTGCATTTATTGACCACTACCCAATCTTGTGTCATACTGTCATCTTCCACATTTGAAACAGAATTTCTAATAGAATTAGACATGTTTGTTGAGTCTTCAATAGAATGAGGTGGGGTTGGTTCTTTTTTGTTAATAATAGATGCATTTGCTGATGTTGCAACTGTTTGATGTGTATTTGTTGCATTTTCATCTATTTACATCATATTTGAATTAGAAGCTTTATTAACTTCTACAATAGATTCTTTCTCATGTAAAATATGCTTTTTATTAGCTTGTTTTCTAGTTTTGGAGTTATAATGTTTAGTCATTCATCGTATTTATTATTATTATTTGTTTTTTGATTTTTATTATGCAAAAAAAATTTTTTTTGGTAATTTTACATTTTAATATTGATATTAATTTTATATTTAATAATAAATTCCGATTTAGTAATTTTACATTTTAATATTGATGTTTTGATTTAATAATTTTGCATTTTAATATTAATATTAATATTCAGTATTTAGTAATTTATTTATGTTTTAATATTAATATTCAATATTTAGTAATTTATGTTTTAATATTAATATTTAATATTTAGTAATTGCACGTTTTAATAATGAATTTTGATTTTAGGAATATTAATATTTAGTAATTGCGCGTTTTTTTATGAAAAAACTGCATGTTTAAAAATCTTATATAAAGTTTAATTTTTTACTTCGAGTGCTTTTCTAAATTCAAAACAAATAATTCATTAATCACATAAAAAACTCCAATAAATCAATCAAAAATAAATTAACCACAATAGTGTCTTCTTTAGATAAAAGAACATCATTAACTGCTTACAAAAAAAAGTCTTAAGAGAAAAATAGAATTTGATTCCAATCAACAATCAACATTAGATACTTTTTTAACTAATTTGTTATTTTTGCAAAGCAATTATATATTATTTATTTTATTTTTATTGTAATTTGCAAAACGAACTTTTTTAGCCCAGCCCAAAAGTTTGTTATAAAGAGAGTGTACTGTATTTCTTTCCAAGGTCGTAAACCTTTCTACTTTCAATGACACCTGATAGCCTTCTGTTTTTTCTCTTGTTGGTCTTTTAACTTGTGCTTGATTTTCTCTGTTACTTTCTTCTGTGTTGAACTTAATAATTAGCTTTTTCTAAATCAATCGAGATTTTTTTCACATCTTTTTTTTTGTCATGGAGACAAAAAATGCATTATTATCTATTATACCGAGATAAAATCATTATATTTTAAGAGCATTACCTTTTTGATCAATCGATGAAGGAGATCTTAGTAAGCAATTACTTTTTTGATCAATTATCTTAGCAAACAATGAACCATTACTTTTTCAATCAATAAAACCATTAATTTCTTTGATAAATAAAAAACTATTACTTTTCTGATTAATTAATGAATGAGAAGGTTCTTAGCAAACAAAACCATTGCTTTTTTGATGTGGTTTACATCAACCAATTTGTCTTTTAAATATCATAAAATTATCAATAACAATCAGCTCAATGTGAAATTTTAGAGTGTTATATTAAATGTTTATTAGATTATTTTCACTTATCATTGAGTCAATACTTTTTTAGGGCATGTATCAAGTAATTTAAATCTAGGAAATGGCATGGAATTGTCACCTGAAAATTTAATTTTACCACAACAGAGATAGAAAGGGGAAATTGTACAAAGTATGATATAATCAATCTTACCTTCTCCAGGGAAATTTAACCAATGATAATCATGGTGAATTTAGTAAATTTTCATGATGATTTTAGTGAATTTTCCATCAGAATTTTTCTAGCCTAGGCTTATTCTATTCCTCCACAGCCAGGTGAAATAGAATAAGCCTACTGGAAAATATCCATATTAGATGTTTTATAAGACAAGTTAAAATAACAAAGATGCATTTAGCCTTTTTGTTAACACTGATTATTTAACACATATATAGCCAACCCTTGTTAGTAAATTACAGCCAATACATAATAATTTAGCACTTATCAACTAATTGGTTTATGAATTTGCTTTGGTTCTCACTTACTGCCCCTTTCTTGCACCTAGGAAGCTTTGGTGAATCTGTAAACATGCTCAATGATATAGAATAACTGTAAACGAATGAGGATGCCCATTTACAAAGTTCAAAGACTTTAGTTAAGTTCTTTTATTCACTTGTGGCTGACTTATTTCAGTCATTTATATTTTTTTGGCGATTGCAAACTTGCTTTGGTTTGTTTACAAAACAATTTAAACAACTCATTTAATAGCCTTACATTTGCAATAATATTTTTATTACAATAATGCTAACTGTACTTCCAATTAACCTTCACTAAAGCAAAATAATGTTTATGGTTGTTATTAACACTCACTAGTTCATCCAAACCTTTGCTTACTCATAACATTTCTAATCATTAACACTCACTAGTTACACAAAATTAGTCCTAATTTAACAAATAAAAACATGGCTTTTTACCAAGGCTCACAGTTGTTACATTTACCAAAGCACTTTGCTTCAGCGGCCCCATAATATTATGCAATTATTACATTGAGTGTAAATATTACATAATTTTTTATGCAAATATTGCAACTTTACATATTAAAATTTATGTATGTAATATTACAGCGGGGAAAATTTCCTGATGTAGAAAATAAAATAAAATTTTTATTTTTAAAAAGATAATGATTTTACAGTGGTTTTATTTTATTTGAATGTTAATGTGATATTTGTCTTCCTAGATTGGGTGACAAAATGTTTCCTTTTTGTCACATGATGAAAATAAATGTGACGAAATAGGATCTCTACAAAATGACAAATGAATGATGAAATCAACAATAAAATAAACTAACTATTTTGTGAATTTTAAATTATTTACATTTCTGGTTCAAGAAGTAATTCATAATGTTCTAACCCTATATGAATTTACGAACATTAAATTTAGATAGTATATCTGAAATTCATTTAGCAATAATTAGGAATTAACTCCAGGATGTCCTATGTCTGATGTAATGGAAAAGTAAAAGGACATTACTCGACACCTTGCAGATACTGTCCAAAAACCTGAAATTGTGGAACATCTTTTACCATTTGACAAAATTTTTTTTACACCAAAATATTTTGTCGCCCAACCCTTGGTGAGGGCCCAAACAAAGTTATCTTCTACTCCCCACTTTTTCAAGTGAAGTCCCGAGGTTCATTAAGTTGGTTGAATGTCCAATAAAAATTTTTTATTAGTTGTTTATATTTTGTCTTCTCATACTAGTAACAATTTATCAAGCTAACATATTCATATGAAAAATATACAAGAAAATATAATAATAATCTAACATTGTATTTATTATATTTTTTTTAATCAAATATTTGAAAAACTTCAAATTCATCAAATTTACTACCATTTACTATATTGATATTGGCATAATCATTATTAACACTATAAATACCACCATCTTTTTGAAAATAAATATCTTTATCACCAAAAATAGCTAAATATGAAGGATAGCAATAAATTGCACATTGGTGATTGATAACATAACTAAATTGTGCAGTATCAATATTATTTCTATCATTTATATTGAATATAAAACTTTCAATTGTACTTTTATAACCCTCTCCATCCCAACTAAGTGGATTATAACCACCAACTATTTGCTCTGAATTTTGTATTTTGCCAATTACAAGAGTTTTGTTGATATTATTGCATTTTTGATGAAATGTAGCTACATTTAAACCATCTCTGCTACTACGATATAGAAGTGTGAATTCATATTTGACCTCCTTGAATGAGGTATATGGTGGACTTTTTCTATCAATCCAACTTGCAAAAAGCAAAATAAGGGTTTGATTGATTGTCAATGATTCAAGTGTTGGTGGTTTCAAATTTGAAATTCTTGGTGGTTTCAAATCTGAAATTCTTGGTGGTTTCAAATCTGAAACTCTTGGTGGTAATAAATTTAAAGTTTGTTGTCTATCAGGGTATAAATGAGATTGCAAAAGGGATTTCCATAAAGTCCTAGGAAAGAGTATATTATATGGTTCAATTTTATTAAAAAAATCATCTTTAGAAATATCCTGAAATCTTATTAAAGAAATAAATTCTTTTAATGTGTTGCCTAAATCAGCAAAATTTTGTAATGACCAATCTTCAACATTGATATTATTGATTTCTGGATGTTTTGCTAATCCCCATTTAAGAATGCTTTCCCAAATAACTATCTCATCAATAAAAAAGTCATCCCTTTTTAAAATTTCCAATAAAATTGGTTTTTCCAACAATCTAAATTCACTTGATTCAAATAATTTTTCACTATACTCACAAAATTTTTCCAAATAGAGGTTTTTCAATTCTTTAAAATTTTCATTAGCATAAATCAATTGTAGAATTTTAACCGGATTTTCTTTTATATAATTTTCATAATTTTCAATAAAATATTTCATTATATATTCATAAAGTGACTCAATACCAAATTCATTTGCTGCAGTTAATAGTTCTAATACTTCAGCACCAGAATAATTTTCAAATTCAATTTTGCATGTATATAAAAATCTTACAAAATACAACAGATTATTAAAATTGTTATATATTCAAAAGATAAATAAATAAATAAAATAAATAAATTTATTTAAACTTACTTGAGAATAGGGTTGAGAAGTTTTTCACTGATGTTGGCTTTCTTAACAATATAATAACCATTTTTTTTTGTTGCATTATTTAATTCATTGCTGAAAAATGGACAATGAGCTGATATTATAGATGCATGTGCATGAATTTCTTTAATGTTTGGTTCTACACCTACATATATTTTTACATCATAAAAATCTTCAGTATTTAACAACCTTTCATTTTCATTAAAATATTTTTCAAATATTTGATTCATAAAACTAGAATATTCATATGTAGGTGTACTATTATTGCCTGTCAATCTTTGTATCAAATCGGTAGTGTAGTTTTTTCTATAAATCAATGTGAATATATACTTTAGTTGGAGTCAAAAGATGTTTTAATTTTAAAAGTCATAATAATAATTTATGGTTTTTCATGTTTTTCTTCTTATTGTATTATCAATATAACTTACATTGTGCGAACAGCACCTTTTGCTTTATAATTTGACATTTTGATTGTTTTCCGTGATGAATGAATCAACCAAATTATATGTGATGGTGTCACAAAAATGGTCAGTTGACGATGTTTAATCAAACAATTCTTTTTTTATGTTATGTAACAATAAAATCAATCCGGTGGAACACTCAGGATTAATTGAAAATGACAGTCTTTTTTATTTTTGTAATAGTCGCGGGACATTGTTTCATTCAAATATAAACGTTACACGAATAAAATTATTATCGTCCACTTCAAAAAAAAAATCTCCGTTTTTCGTATAGCAAGCGATTTACAACCGTAATAAAATTTTTACAGTTAGACTGGGACTTTAACAACAGTTAAAAGAAAAGCCTAGCTTAAATATTGGTTATTCTACGCCAGGTCGGAAGTGTTTCTTTTCTTCACACTTATTTTAAGATTATTGCTCAACTAGTACGCAGACTAAAGCAAATTCAGCAGCAACAGTTGTGCCAAATTGTTCCCTACAAAGTCACTTATAACCACTTGGAAGGTTTGTTAGAAAAATTTTGCTTCTAATTATAAGGGGCTGATTTATAGTTAATTCTAATTCTATAAACATTAAATTTAGATAATATATCTGATATTCATTTAACAATAATTAGGAATTAATTCCAGGATGTCCTGTGTCTGATGTAATGGAAAAGTAAAAGGACATTACTCAACATCTTGAAAATATTGTCCAAAAACCTGAAATCATGGAACATCTTTTAAATTCAAGACTCATTTAGCTAATGAATGTCCTGCATGTCATTATTATTATTCTATTTCTCATTTTTATTTGGATGAAATTAACAATCAACAAAGCAATGAATGTAATAAACAAAAACAGAATGCCAAGCTCTTTTGTCAAACTTTTATGAAAGTGCTATTCTAACTGACTAAAGAAAAAATTCAAATTATTTTGACCATTTCATCACATTTTGTCACGTGTGCCCCATTTGACAAAATATTTTTTACACTCCAAAATATTTCGTCACCCAACCTTGGTGAGGACTCAAACAAAGTTATTTTCTACTCCCCACTTTTCAAGTGAAAACCAGAAGTTCATTTACTATCATTAAATTGGTTAAATGTCCAATAAAAATTTTTTATTAGTTATTTCACATTTTTGTCTCCCCACACTAGTAATAATTTATCAAGCTAACATACTCAATGTATATAAAATAATTAAACATAACTAATGAAAACATACGAAAAATATATAAAATATAACACTGTATTTATTGTTATTTTTTTTTTTATCAATTATTTGAAAAACTTCCAATTTATCAAATCTACTGCCATGTGTTATATTGATGTTACTATAACTTGGGGCATGCTGCAACAAAACCCAACAAAGTGAACATTGGTGTTACCAATGATTTCAGGATCAATAGTGTTTGTTTATCATCACCACTATAATGTGACCATGATATTTTTTTCACTTCTTATATAGATAGGGTTAGTTACCTTTGCATAAAAATAGTTAATACGAAGCTAATTTACATTAGGTCTACCATGGAACCCAAGAATTATAATACAATCAGAAGCATGTTGAAGAAAGAGCAAGGGAAAAAAATTGCTCCTTATATTTTCAAAATAAATAATACTCAGACACTTGTGAAATTTATCAAGGGGAAAGAAAAATAGAAAAAGAAAGCATCATGATGATGCGTTATTACCTAATAAAAAACAAAATCTTTAAAAGGAAAATAACTACCATTTTCTTTGATAGTTGAAATGAATTTCAATTTATACAGAATTTCTTTAAACTACTTTCTTATTTTCAATCAAGATCATCTCCTTGTTTCTTTAACTTCAATTTGAGCAACTTGTTGGTACTGTTGTTTCATTAATCATTCAACCTCACTTTCAAGTCTTTTAATTTTATCTAATAATTCTTGCCTTTGCTTATTATGTCAATCCTTTGAAACATCTAAGGCTTCCAAATGAGTACTGATTTCTTCCTTAGTACTAGATAGTTGCTGTTTTAAGTCTTTATTCTGCCATTCCAATCTGCCAACATAACTCTGTACAATTATTTCTGTTATGGTTGGGGTTTTGACTGGTTGATCTTTCCTTAAATCTCAGAATCAATCTATCCTGTTTCTCATAATTCTACTGCAATCATTACAATGTGGCAAAGTATTATCATCAAGAGCTTTTTGCACTCAACACAAATATAAGCAATGTCATTGTAATCATTATTGTTTGTATTGTAAGATACTATTTTGTAAGTAGCATTTAAACTCCTTTCTCTTTCAAAAAGACAGAAATTACAATGCCATTTATCTCCTCTCCTCAGCTCATTAATTTGGTATTCTAATTTCATGCTATTTATTCTTTTGGTTTCAAATTTTTTCTCAAGTTATTTCTTTTACTTGGCTAACTTTGTTTTTTACTTTGTTAGTTAAGAGTTTAAATTTGTTTTCTTCCTTTGGTAAACTGGTAGTTCTTGAAGCTGCTTGTCTGCCAAATATTTCTGTCATGCTACAATTTTTTCCAACAACTCTATTCGCCTAGAAGCTTTTTCTAAGTTGTCATCTTTTTCTTTGTTTTGCCTTATTCTCCACTGCCTAGCCAATTCAAGAGCATCTAAATGACATTCAGATGTTTCCTCCTCTAATTCTAATGCTTCTTCTAATTCTTTAATCTGTTCTTCCTTTTCTTTTAACTTTTCTTCATATTCCTGCTTTTCTTCAAATTTTGGGAATTTAAATCACTGATTTTTGACCAACTTCCTGCATATTCTGAAGCTAAGTCATTTGAATAATCAATAAACCTTTCTAACATCTCTTCAATGGTAATGTTATTAAATCAAATTCTTTTACAGTTTTAGCTCATTCTCTGGTTTCATTAGGATCTACTTCCATTCTCAACTTACCTTCATCCATTCATTTCTTATTTAACTTCTTGAAATGAGTTGCAGGTTCTCATTGCTTTGATGTTTACATGGCATTACAATTCATCAGCAGAGTTGCAACAGCTTGATCACAGTGCCATCCTTACCCTTAGAGGTGGGATCGTTGCAGGTAACTTTTTGGCTAGCATGCCAGCGGCCTTCTCTGGTCTGATGCTGTAAGGGAAGATTAGTGAAAATATCCTTGATGATGATGCAGTTTTGTAAACTCCAGAACCACGCCCTCCTGAAAATTTAACAACATCATTGTATCATCAGGGCACACAAGTCAGATTAGCCTTTTGTACATGAGGAACATGTGAGAATGACTGTAAAGTGTTCAAGGTAGTATGTGTGCTTCAACACTTGTAAATTTTCAATAATCAAATGTTGCTTATCAAATTGTTTCTTTTTCAACATTCAATGCTGCCTTGACATCTTGTAATTATAATAATATAATATTAGTATTATTATTACGATTACGCAAAGCAAAATATTATCAATGAAAATCTTGTAATTACCCAACAAGATCTGCTCCGCGTTTTGATTCCATATTTATAAGCTAAAATAAAAGACACCTCATACATATCAATATAGGTAAAAAAAGTACCTCTAGTTAGTTATTAACACGTATTCTTTAGGAGACCCAAACCAAACCAAACAACAACACTCACGTTTTGTCACCTTGGGCTCTGTCAAAAAATAAATCAATCAATTAGCGTCTGTCCTACCAAAAAAAAAACCAATAGGATAAATAATTAATGTATACGCGTCGATCAAATCACAAACTTCTTTTTTCTTTCTTTTTTTTTATAAAGATGTCACGAAACAATAATAAAAGAAGCAAAAAAGACAATACTGGTGCCCCTAATGCGTAAGTGATTTAAGGATGGTGGTGGTTATCGCCCACCACTTGTTGTTACTCTAGTTTATTAAAAGAATGGTGGTTACGATCATTGCTATGTAAACTTGTATAAATCTACAGTATTTTTAATTTTCTGATGTACAATATATACATATTTTTTTTTTTTTTAGATTTGAAAAGGTTCGTTAAACGCACTTGTTTATGTGGCTGATGTATTGTTATCCAAGTCTAAGACTTTTTCACATTTTGCCAGGTCTCATACTGCTGATGAGTCTTGTGAGGAAGATGAAATTAGCAGTGTATATGAAGTTGTTTTTGATCATAATGATAACAACAATATTAACAACCCAACAAAAATTAAATGGTCATTTGATATAAACTTAAATAATAATCAAGTAGATGAGGAAATTTATGTAGAGAAACCTTTAATTAGAGCTCCGAAACGAGTCGGGTCATGATTTAATTGACCCGGGTCAACATCATGTTATAATTGCCTTTAAAGGTTCAAAATTATTTTTGAAACTAGTATAGATACTAATAAATGAATAAAAATAAATGGCAAAATAACAATTTTGACAT